CCTGGGAATGAAGCCATGGTCCTCTGTGGCTGTGACAGTGGGGTGGGGGTGGGGGACAATCCTGGCTCCACAAAGAGTAGGCAGGAGGAGAGTCTCTCTGAGGTCTTCGGTAGCAGCCCCTCCCCCCCAACACTGCTGCCTCGGTGATCCATTCTCCACCTCTTCCCCTGCTATCCTGAGAACCAAGATAGCTCCATGCACAAGTAGCCTGGAATCTTCAAGTTAATTTTCACTGTCTCTCCCACCTGCCTTTCCAAGCTGCCTTCCCAGTCACCATATTTCAGACAAGAAACTTGTTGTTGTTTTTTTTAATAAAAATATCTTTTTTTCTTTAATATCCTCTCTACAAATTCCCCAGATTCCTCTCCTTTCTGTTGAAAGGGCTGACTCTTGGCTCCAGAGGGCTTGGAATGAGAAGGCTCAGAGTTTCTTCCCACTTCTCCCACACCTGAGTCCGAATCTCCAGTTTTTTAAATACTGACTCACTCATGGTGGGGAGTAGGAGGAAGGAGAGAGGGATGGAAAAATAAGAAAGGAAAGGGTTTTTTAATGATAAAGGTAAAATAGGAGACAAGGCACCTCTTTTCTTAACTCCAGAGCTGGACAGGCTGACATCCACCGTGGGGTGGGGACGAGGGTGCAGAACTGGCTGGCAACCAGGACAGAGCAGCAGGTGGACTGTGGCCACTTGTTGGAACGTGTGATATGCCACCCAAGTGCAGCAGAGATCAGAGCTAAGGCTGGAGCTCACCTCGGAGGAGGTAATTGAAGTCACACACTTCAGAGTCATCCACATGACTTTGTCGGTTGGAATCTCATTTTATCAACTACTTATCTAGAATAAACATGACCTCACCTGAAACTTGAAATTCAGTTTCCTCTTGTCTTTGGAAGAGTGTGATACTTCAGACAGGAGTATGTTTCCATGGGACATTGCTGATATTTTGTCCACCACCCCCTCCTGAACCTTCCCCTCCTTGAATGTGCCCTCTCGCTCCAGGATAAACATCTTCAAAAGGTGGACCTTCTAATAGAGTGGACCCGGTGGATTTTTCCTTTTCAATTCTCTGGAATTCAATGCTATGAGAAGTCTAAGTCTTTAGAATTGAGGCCACATGCATATGCTAATATTATGTCTATTACACATACTTATCAGCACATTTTTTGTAGCCAAAGATGCACCAGACCCAAGCTTCCATTGATACGATTTATATCACTATAGATTAGTATTTCCTGTTCCAGAATTTCATATAATGGAACCAGAAAGCATGAAGTCTTTTGAATATGTTTTCTTTTGGTCAGCTTAAGCCATGTTACCACATTTATCAGTCATTATTGCTTTTTATTACTGATTAGTAGTCCATTGTATAAACATCAATACTGTAATTTAAGTATTCAGTCATTTATTATTTCTTCTACTCTTCATTCTTGCTGTAGCTCTATCAAGCATTATTTCATTTTGGACTAAAGAGCATCCTTGAGCATTTCTTGTACTAATAGTTTAGATCTGCTAGAGATGAATCTTCTCAGATTTTGCTTATCTGAAAATGTCTTTATTTCACCTTCAATTTTGAAGATGATTTCTATTTAATATAGAATTCTATGTGGACAAAAGATTTTTAATTCAACACTTGAAAGATGTTGTTTCATTGTCTTCTATCCTCTATTGTTTCTGATGAAAAATTAGCAACAATGTTTAACTTTGCTCCCCTGTATGTCTTTTTCCTCTTGCTGCTTTTTCAAGATTTTGTCTTTATGTTTAGTGTTCAGTCATTTGACTATGAGGTTCCTAGGTGGAGTTTTCTTGATCTCCATCCTGCTTGAGCTTCTGGGATTTGTAAGTCATTTTTCAAAAAATTGGGGAGGTTCTTGGCTACTGTTTCTTCAGATATTTTCTCTGTTCTCATTGTCTTCTTCCGGAACACCAATCACATGTATGTTAGCCTGATTGCTATTGTTCCACAGGTCTCTGACCCTCTGTCCATTTTTCCTTCATATTTTTTTCTTTCTGTTATTCAGATTTGATATTTTCTACTGGTCTGTCTCCACCTTCACCGAGTCTTCTATTGTCTCGGTCCTGCTAGTTAGCACCTCCAGTGAATGGTTCACTTCGGGTATTGCACAATGCTAGAATTTCCACTCTTTTTTTTAAAGGCTTCCATTTCTCTGCTAAAAACTCTTTATCTATTTACATACTATGACTATTTTTCTCTAATTAACGAATACATTTTTAAGTATTTGAATACATATTAGAAAACATACATGTTTTAAAGGTTTTATACTCTAAGCCCAACATTCGGTCCATCTTAGAATCAGTTTCTTTTCAGTGCTTTTATTTTTTGCTATGGATTACATTATTCTGGTTTGTTTTTGTTTGCATGTCTAGTGATTTATAATTGAATACTGGACATTGTGAGTTTTACATTGCAGAGGCTCTAGTTCAGGCATCCTTAAACTACAGCCCTCGGGCCACATGAGGGCCACCTAGCACATTTATCTGGCCCGCCGGGTGTTTTTGCCGCTGCTGCCTGTCCTGCTTAGCAGCCAACTCGTCCCAGGCCCACAGTGCACATGTGTAGATTGTGCGCCACACTGTGCAACAGCCCTCCAACAGTCTGAGGGACAGTGAATTGGCCCCGTTTAAAAAGTTTGAGGACCCCTGCTCTAGTTCAATAGAACTTCCTGCGCTGAGGAAATGTTCTATGTCTGTACCAGCTGGTAGGGCAGCCGCTAGCCACACGTGGCTACTGAACTCTTACGTGACTAATGTGACTGAGCAATTGAATTTTAAATGTTATCTAATTTTTGTTAATTTAAATTTAAATGCTCATATATTTACGCTAGGAACTGCTCAGTCTCTATTATAGTTATGTCCATCTCAAACCCACAGCAGCTGATATTTGGCAAGCCATGGGTGGTTTTGCCCTGCACGTGCACAGCCCTGCCATCAACCGTGGACTCAAGGAGGAGCTCCTCACATGCACACGCAGACTTCTAGGGCTTTCTCTCTGCACAGATTCCAGCCATTTCTGTTGCCTTGAACTGTGATCTCTGCCAGGAGTACGATGCTGTGATCCAGCTCACGTCTCCAGGCAGGAAGCTGGGTTGCTGGGGGGCTCACCTAGTGCCCCCTTCTTCCAGGGGTTATAATCTCGTGCTGTTTATTTTCCATTGCCTGAAAACTATCCTGCTTCTTACAGTTTGTCCAGTTTTCTAACTGTTTGCGGGAACTAATCTGAAACTGGTTACTCCACTGTGGCCAGCAGCCTGAGAAGTTTCCTTTCAAGTAACAATGTGAAGAAGAGGAGGAATGTCTGCGGGAATGCGGTTTCAAACCTAGCAGCAGGGATGGGAAGGCCTGACGCAGGCCTGACTTGCCAGCAGAACAGCAGAGGGGCTTCGAGGGTGGGGTACAGTGGGCAGAGGACAGAGAGAGTGGCACAGAAGGCCAGAGAGGCACAGGGCTGGGAAAAGATTCATTTGGCTGTATTGGTCATGATAAGAACTCTAATGTTTACTATAGTGAGATGAAAAGCCATTGGAAAGTTTTGGGCCAATAACTGATTTGTTTTTTTTTTCCCAGTATATTCTGGGGGTACAAATGTTAAGGTTACATATATTGCCCTTGCTCCCTCTTACCCCTTGAGCTTCAAGAGTGTCCATCCCCCAGTAGGTGCACATTGCACTCATTATGTATGGATATGATTTGGGTTTTAACAGGATCACACTGGCTATTGAAACAGACCTATAGGGCAAAGGCAGGGAGCTGAATTAGAAGGCCACTGAAAAAAATCTATTGACTTAACTTACAAATTTAAATTATTCAAGGTTGGTGGCTGGGTTTTTATTAATTGCCTAGAGTTTGGGGCTCACTAAGAGACAGGCATCTTAGTGTGTAAGATCACATCATCTGAAGCCTAATTAGCCATGTGACTTTAGGCAAGTTGATTAAACTGTCTCTTTTTATTTCCATAAAATGTAAATAAGAATACCTATCACTTAAAAGATACCATGACAATTAAATGAGATAATTGGCGTAAAATTCTCTAATTCATGATGGATGCACATGTAGTAAGTGCTCTATAATTGTTAACTATTGCTATCTGAGAGGCTGAATGTTTAACAATTATCTCTTTACCCCATGAACACTGACTGATCCCCTACTCTGTGAATAAAGGGTAGAGACACCCCGTTCTTATTCTCAAGGCATATGCGCAGCTTAGAGAAGAAATCTGGCATGGAAAAAATATCTCAAAAGAACACTGAAGAAAATAAGAGGTAAGCAGAGGTCCACATTGTCAACTCTTGCACAAGGAAGGAAAGTTTAGGCATTATCCATTCAGACATAAAGACTATCGAGAGGAAATCAGTTAGAATTTGAAGGATGAATCAAATAAAGACACTCTTAAAAGGGAAGGGAGTTCTGAAGATCCTCTGAATATGTGGCCATGGCTAATGGTGAAAGAGATTCTTAGATTCAAAGTGAAAAATTACGAGTTCAATATGGCCATTGTCTTCTTAAGCTCACATTCAGAATCAACCATAGGAAGTAGGCATGACAGCTGAATGGCTTTATTAACTTATTTTTGGAAATTAGATGATGAATGCAAGCACAGTCTCGCCTAACAAGAAGCATTTCCCAGTTGTCTCTGTGAGGCTGCAGGAAAGGCTCAAGAAATGCAAGCAGAGAGAACTCGTGGGTCCTGAGACCCCAGTGCAGAGCACTGAGGAAGTGAGTGGTGGCCCTGGGGCCACAGGAAGGTAATGGATACACTAATCAAAGGTTTTGATTAATGTGTGTTGTCTCACTTTTCATCTGCCCAACATGCATCCCATTGATCATTTCCAGCATAGCCCATCAGAGGAGAAAAACTTGATGAAATATGATCTAGTGAAGCAGCACAGGCCAGTCCCACGGCCAGATATAAGCTGCTCTGCTTTGGAAACACCTGCATAAAACACAAGGCAGACCAGCTTGTCACAGAGTTTAACTAGCATATCTAACGACCTCAGCTAGAAAAGAGTATCCATCTATTTAGCAGGGGAGAGAGCAGTGGGAAGGCTCAGCCCCATGCAGGCTGTGAAGGGGTTACTTTGGAGATGATTTCTGTTTGTCTCGATCAAGAGATTCAGCTGAGAATTTATTAAGAATGGGCAGAAAATATATCCGTCAAAGAAATACTATGCAGTCATCAAAAAGAATGAGGCACGTTCGTGTATTCTAACAGGGAATTATCTCCAACATCTATAGTGAAGTGATGTTTATAGTCTATGACTATTTATATGAAAAAAATGAAATATACATATTTATATACATTAAAAAAGGTTGGCTCTGGGGAGGGGAATTGGGTGGCTGGGACTGAAGACAAACAGGGGACTTGTGTTTCAGTCTAAATCCCTTTGTGTCTTTTCAATTTAGTGCTATATGCACCTAAATTCAGATAGGTTGTGTTTTTTTCCCAGATGGAAAATTAAAAAGTATAGGGGAAAAATAATACCCATGATCTAATTTTTAAAAAGGTTAGATTAGGTCCATCCCTTTCCTGTTTGCAAAGTGCACCATGATCATGCCAGATGCTGGCTGCCATTCCTTTCTGATATTTCACCGAAGTGTCCCTGAGCATACTGGTTTGCTAGGGCTTCTGGAAAGAAAGCAACACAAACTGAGTGGCTTAAATGACAGGCGTTTATTGTCTCCCAGTCCTAGAGACGAAAAGTCTGAGATGAAGATACCAGGATGGTCGGTTCCTTCTAAGGGCTGCAAGGGGGAACCTACGCCTCTCCTCTAACTTCTGATGTTTGGTGGCGATCTCTTGCTTCCTTGGCTATAGGAGCATCACCGTACACCCTTCATGTTCATGTGTTCTCCCTGTGCACATGTCTGTCCACATTCCTCCTTTTTATAACAACTGCAGTCGTCTTGGATTAGAGATCCACCCTGATGACTTCATGTCAACTGATTACAGCAATGACCTTATGTCCAGACGAGGTCACACTCTGAGGCACAAAGGGGTTAGAACTTCAACATATGAATTTGGAGAGGACACAATTCAACCCCTGACACTGAGAACACTTTACTTATCCAGAATTAAATTGCTTACAGAGGGGAAGTATTTTGCTACATGTCTATGAGGCACAGCTCATGGGATGTGTCTCTTCATGCCCCAAATGTGAAAAGTGGGTAGGTGCTGGCATGATTGAACACCTTTACATTTTCAAGTGCAGTATCGTCCTCTGAGGAAAGAAAATTGCTTAAACTTGGCTAACTAAGAACGACAGCTTCTATAGTAGGAGCAATAAATCAGTAACAGGAAAGTCAGATCCCTTCCCCTGTCCTCCCCACACCCATGCCAGCTAAAGGTTTATCCACTCAATAATGTTTATTAGGCACCTGCTAGTGCCTCACACTGCACTGGGAGCTAAGGACAGAGCTGGACAGAACATCCCTCTGCCCCAGGGCGGAGAAAAGTGACTTGTAAAGTAATACAGTTGTGCACTGCATGACCACGTGTCAGTCAACGATGGACCACATGCACGACGGACAGTGGTCCCATAAAATTATCATGGGACTGAAAAATTCCTATCCCTTAGTGATGTCATAACTGTGGTAATATCGTAGCACAATGCATTACTCACCTGTTTGTGGTGATGCTGGTATAAACAAACCCACTGCCCTGCCAGTCATAGAAAAGCAGAGCTTATACAATTATGTACTATAATGATAAAAAGTGACTATGTTACTGGTTTATGTATTTACTATACTATACTTTTTATCATTATTTTAGAGTATAGTCCTACTTATTAAAAGAAAAGGTAGCTATAAAACAGTTTCAGGCAGGTCCTTCAGGGGGTATCCCAGAAGAAGGCACTGTTATCGCGGGAGATGGCAGCTCCATGGGTGGCACTGCCCCTGCAGAACTCCGAGTGGGACAAGACGTGCAGGTGGAAGGCAGGGACACTGATGATCCCCACCCTGTGGGGGCCTAGGCTAATGTGTGTGTTTGTGTCTTCGTTTTTAACAAAAAAGATTAAAAAGTAAAAAAAAAAATAGGAAAGATTTTAAAAATAGAAAAAAAGCTTATAGAATTAGGATATAAAGAAAATATTTTTGTATAGCTGTAGAATGTGTGTTCTAAGCTAAGTGTTATTACAAAAGAGTTAAAATAAACTTTTAAAAGTTTGTAAAGTAAAAAAGTTATAGTAAGCTAGTGTTAATTTATTATTGAAAAAGTAAAAATATTTTTTATGAATTTAGTGTAGCCTAATTGTGCAGTGTTTATAAAGTCTACAGCAGTGCACAGTAGTGAGCCAGGCCTTCACATTCACTCACCACCCGCTCACCGACTCACCCAGAGCAACTTCCAGTCCTGCAAGCTCCACTCATGGTAAGCACCTTACACAGGTGTATCATGTTTTAAGTTTTATACCATATTTTTACAGTACTTTTTCTATATTTATATATGTGTAGATACACAAACAGCATCGTGCGCCAGTTGCCTACAGTATTCCATGCAGGAACATACTGTACAGGCTTCTAGCCTAGGACGAAGGGCTGCATCACATAGCCTAGGTGTGTAGTAGGCCACGCCATCTAGGTTTGTGTGAGTCCCCTCCACGATGTTCACACGACGATGAAACGATCTGAGGACACGTTTCTCAGAACATGTTCCATTGTTAAGTGACACATGGCTATAAGAACGTTGAGGTAGTTAATGTAGAGCCATGACCAAGGCAAAAAAGAAAAGACTTAACTCCACCTGGCCATGCCAAGGAAAGTGCCCACTGAGAGGTGACATTGGAAAGGGTGAGTGACAGAGCAAATGAGGGAGGTGAGGACATGTCATGTTCTGAGCAGGAGAGCCTGGACTGACTTCTGGTTACCAGGGACGGCGACAGGAGTTGGAGTGAACCTCAGGTGCAGATGAGCTTCTGAAGGTTTCCCCTTAAGCCTGGAGATTTTGGACTTCTTTATCCTATGGGAAGCCTGGAAGACTTAGAGGAGCTACCTGGTCACATTTCCTTCTTAGGAAGATGAGAAAGAATAATGGGGAGAGAGATTGCAGACAGGGTGGCAGGCAAGGTGATTTTTGCAGGTAAGAAAAAGAAATGACCAATAAATTAAACTGTAGTAGTGGTGACAATAACAGAGACTATGAGGGACCCTTAATTTCTCCTATCTCTATGCATTTCATTTTCTTAAAATTCCATATTATTTTTTCAGATAAAAGATAATACACGCTCACTGTAAAAAAACATTTGGAAACGATTTTTAAAACATGTAAGGAATGTTAATAAAAATGCCCTTTAATTCCTTAATTCCATTCCAGGAATAAGCATTCTTATTTGTGTGTGTATTCAGTTCTTTTAAAAATCATAATATACGTACATATAAATCATTTACTCAAACTGTTTTGTAATTGGCTTTTCCTACTTTATATATATTTCCCTGTTTTATTAAGTAACTTTGTAAAACTTGATTTTTAATTGATGTGCTCTATTTATTTAGCTAATCTGGGGGACGGATTTGAAAACTGTTAAGCAGTCATAAAGAGCAGCAGGAGGTGATTAATTAGCTGATGGGACATGAGGGAAAGGAAGAAAACTGGGTGACCCCATCCAACTTGTGGGCTACAGCCCTGCTGCCTTCAGATTTCTTCTTGCTTTGACGAGAGCCGGAGGATCCATCCCATGCAAAAGGCCGTGCCAAAAGCATACACGAACATATGTCATATTCCACCTCAACAATGGGGAACGCGATCACTGTTCAGGGCATGCAGACACAGCCCCACGTTCAGAAACTGCCAGAGCAGTCATTAAAGTGGATAAAACGGCCTGCAATGAAATCCTCAAAGGATGTGGCAGATACAGGGAATGCCCTCCCAAACACAGCTGCAGGCTGCCGAAATCCCCAGCTGCACCCAATGAGCAATGCAGGCGAGCAGCAAGTAGCGACAGCCTCCTCCGCCAGCAGGGAAGCCTCTCTCCTGTGTGGCCCTGGCGGGGCCTCCGCACCTGCCACTCACCTGGTGTCTCTCCCGCATCCTGGGAGGACACGCCTGTCCTGGCGCTCGCTCTCCCTGGTCTTTGCACAGCGAGGGGAGGACGCAGACGCGGGTGTTTTCCAAGAAAGGCATCAGTACCTGCGAGGCACAATAAGTCCAATCGAGGTGAATAATAAAGCTTATTCATTTCCAAAAAATTAAAAGGCGGTGTTAGAGGAGGTATTGGGAAATAAACTAATTAACCTAGCCTTTCATGTGAGGTTCAGTTTGGTTTCCATTGCCTAATGCAACTCTCCTACGCTCCGTAGCCTCTTTAGAAAAAGGTTTCTGGTTGAAACATAACTTGCGTCTTTTGATCAATTGGGAGGTGAAAGATGTTCCTCTTTTAATCTCATGGATGGAACTCAATATATTTCAGTCACTTTCTTCTTTGTGTTCATGGACGAAACCTCAGAACAAAATATTGTTGAAGTCATTTATTCTCTTTTGCCTGCGGTAGACTTTCAAAGGGAAAACCATCTCCTTCCTTTCCTTCCTTCCTTCCTTCCTTCCTTCCTTCCTTCCTTCCTTCCTTCCTTCCTTCCTTCCTCTTTCGTTCTTTCCTTCTTTCCTTCCTGCCTTCGTTCCTTCCTTCCTTCCTTCCTTCCTTCCCTCCCTCCTTCCTTCCTCCCTCCCTCCCTCCCTCCCTTCTTTCCTTCCTTCTTCTGAAGTGCATGAACCGTTTCTGTTCTTACTTTTGCTGATTTGTCCTAGGAGAAACCATGGAGTGTAGCATATATCTGTATGCTGAGCTGATATGAAGGGACTATTAGCTGCCTCTGGGAAGCTCTTATTCCATAGAAAAGAAAATATGGAAAGTGCCTTTGCTGAAAAGTTCCCATCATTTACAGTTCATGGAAACTCATCCACTCAGAATAACCAAGCACCCATCTACCCGCTACCGCATGTGCGCCTGGTGTTTTGCTAGGCGTTGAGGTAGCAGGGCTGATGGCAACACAGCACCTGCCCTCTGGCCTCTGGGATCTCACAGTTCATTGTGCTGTAATAAAATAAGCACAGAGTACAGAGGAGAATCTAATGCAAGGGTTGTTGAGGGTGGTTTCACGAAGAAGGTGCATGTGATTCTAAAATGAGGGAAGAGCGCGTGCAGGGGTGTGGCGTTGCAAAAGTTCACAGAGCATTTGGAGCACTGGCAGGAGCTCAACGTGATGAGAACAGAGGTGAGAGCCGCATGTCCTAACAAGGAGACTGCCCATCCTGGGGGTAACAGAGAGCCACCAGTGAATTTTAAGAATAGGGGCCGGGCGCGGTGGCTCACGCCTGTAATCCTAGCACTCTGGGAGGCCGAGGCAGGCGGATTGCTCAAGGTCGGGAGTTCGAAACCAGCCTGAGTGAGACCCCGTCTCTACTAAAAAAATAGAAAGAAATTAATTGACCAACTAAAAGTATATATACAAAAAATTAGCCGGGCATGGTGGTGCATGCCTGTAGTCCCAGCTACTCGGGAGGCTGAGGCAGGAGGATCGCTTGAGCCCAGGAGTTTGAGATTGCTGTGAGCTAGGCTGACGCCACGGCACTCACTCTAGCCTGGGCAACAAAAAGTGAGACTCTGTCTCAAAAAAAAAAAAAAAAAAAAAAAAAAAAAAAAAGAATAGGAATGATGTGGTCGAATTCACATTCAGTAAAGTATCCCTCCAACCACCATTCACTGTCCCACATAGTCATAATCTTCTGAAGCTAAGAGTTGAAGGTCTGATTTCAACCGACCCTACAGTTCCTGTAATGGAAACATGAAGATAACACAGGGCTTACAACTCACGGTTGAAAAAAGATCAAGGACATTTCATAGATCTTCTTGCCTTACTTTTTCTTAGGGCAAAATAGACTTTAAAAGACCCTCAAATGGTACTCGCTGTTACCAACATTTCTTTTTTTTTTCATCTTTCATCTTTCATCCTCAACGCTCATGAAAGACATGTTGCTTCTGGTTCAAACTTGGGCCAATGACAAAGCTTTTTATGTTTGTTGACCCAATAATAAGCCATTGCACTCAAAGACTTAGAGAGGATCAGTTTAAAAACAGCTATTACTGCATTTGAACTACAGCTCCCCTCCACCCGCCTGCCATGTGTCTGGGCTTGCTGCTGCCACAGAAAAGCTCCCGGTGGTACCCGGGGAGGTGTCGTGTTTCTCAGCCTGTTTCAGTACCAACACATAAAAGCTGCTTAGGTCAAATGTCAGCAAATCGCAAGCTCGCCCACGAGGTCTAGCTGCCCTCATCCCGCAGCGAGAGGGGCCTATGAAATAAACCCGAAGACGCGTGGTCAGATGGGTCCAGTGTCCCCTTTTGGAGACTGGCACAGGGGTCACTTAGGGAAGGAGATGGAAGGAGCTCTCTACGCTAATTCTAAGAGGTTTGCTTTCAGCATGTTAGTTTCCCCCCAGTCAATAATTCTTACGGAAATGTCATTTTACGTTTAAACACTTTTTTGAGCTCTTTGTTTTTGCAGCCGTTAGCATTGGGGGAAAGGACTCTTCGATCACACCTCCTCCCATGGCCACCACCGCCACACTGATTTCTGTGACACTCCCTTTCCCTGTTCTAAATGTACCTCCCTCCGCCTCCACACCCCCTCACCCTGGCATGTTCGGACAAATTCACAATTTATGGAGCAGTCAATGCTCACGGCCGTCTTTCCTCTCAGTTCTACACCTCTCTCTGCATCTCTCTCAAATTATGTCTTTCTGAGCACAAAAATTTCATCTTTTTAGCAAATCTCATACCACAGTTCCCCTTTCACTGTCAAAATTTTGCAAGACTTATTCTTTGAGTTCAATCTCCACTGTTCTCCACAGGAATCACCCGAACTGATGCTATCAGGAGCTCCCATTTAAGCACTACAGAACATTTAGGAAGAGAGGGCTGGGTTTGATTTGGTCTGATCTAGCTATTATTATTTCCTCGTGAGTAGTTGTAACTTACCAGGTGAGGTTGGAGACTTTGCTTTCTTCTCTAGGAATCTTTATAGTAGAGTAGCTACACAATATTCCATCTATGAAAATCTATAAAATAGGCTAGATATTCAATGAATTATAGAGAAAATACACCCTAGTACTTGAACTCTAAAGCAGTGTTAGGTTAACAAGGAGACACTCACTTGCTTAGGGCACCAGCAGACACCAGAACAATAAGGCTTTGATGGATTTATCCATAATTTTATAACTGGCAAAAAGAAAACCCTTTTATGTTTTGTGGTCTAGTATTGCTTTTATTTGGGTTTACGTATGGGAGGGGGCCCCATAATATTTCAGTGCTTGTGAACTTGGCCTAAGAGCTACAGGGAGGTAGAAAGGAAGCAGGAAACAGGCTCTCTTTTGTCATCAACCTCGTCCTTTCTGTCTCTCTTTGGCTCTGCTCCTCACAGACATGTGTCTACACAGGTATGTTGAGTATTGGGCTTCTGTTCTCAGCAGAGTGTACAGGATTAAAGAAAACACGGGTTGCCTTTGCTGCCTCTAGACCATGTCTCCACGTCCTCCAGTGTATCCTAGAGATGGCTTCCCCACATCCACCCCCGGCTCAATCTCACCAGGTCCCCTCTTCCACGTGCAGGTCCTTAGTGCTCTCTGCTCCCATCAAAACGTCTTTCAGATCCATTAATCATATTAAATTAGCACCAGCTTTTTATAAGTCAAAGGTCATCTCCCTCCCAGGGATAATGTCACATCAATGCGGGTCAAAGTGTCAGCCAAAGAAGGAATGTGTAACTCTGGAATCTCAATTGTAAACCAGTGGAAGACATAACTGACGAGGGGCAGCGATCTCAGTGCTTCTGAGCCCATTAGATGGACTTGCACCGTCCAAAAGAGTAGTTACTACCGCATGGGAAGATTAAAATTTAACTAATTAAAATTACATCCCATAAAAAATTCAGCTCTTCGGGCTCACTGGCCACTGAAATGCTCAATATAACCACACGGGGCTCGTGGCTGCCACACTGGGCAGCACAGATACTGACCATTTCTTGTGCCACAGAAAGCTCCACAGGACAGTGCAAATTTAGACAATTCTCTTCCTGGCTGATGCAGAGGCCAGCCCTGCCCCCTGCTCCAATGCAGGGTTGCTCAACCTTGGCACCACTGACGTGTTGGACCAGATCCTTCTTTGATTAGGGCCTGTCCTGTGCATCAGGATGCTTAGAAGCATCTCGGGCCCTATTCCCTACATGCTAATAAGAATCCCACCTCCCCCCAACACACACACCCAGTTGCAACAATCAAAAATGTCTCTAGACATTGCCAATGTGCCCTAAAGGGCAAAACTGCTCCCAGTTGAGAACCTCTACACTGAGGCTGGCTGAGGCTCTGGGGGTCAGAGAGGACATCTATAAGGATGCTGTGAGCAAGTCGAGTCTGGGAGTTATAAGCTCTTAGAGGGTGAGGACATTGTAGGGGACAGGTCAGGCACATTTTAAGTACTTGTGAAACATTAAAGTGGAGAAGAATTTCAGAGCGATGTTTATAGCCAAGAAAGATATTCTTCCCCTGACTTGGGGGTCCCCTTGATACTACATGCTAAATTGTCATGTGTGTCAATAAAGAACTGCAGTCCCTAAAGAACTGCAGGGAAGGCTGTAAATCCGAAGGAAGACAGAGAAAAGGCCCAAGGGACAGACCGTGGGGTGGTTTAGCTTATTGCAGCCAAGGTGAAAGGGGGTGCCCCTGGCTTCACTCTGAGATTTCCAGCCGGGTGTGCTAAATTCCCAGTTCCCAGTATGGTCATTCGCGCACTAAATGGCCATTACTTCCTCATCGGCAGCTTGCCGGCTGTAAATCCTAATCCCAGCTGGGTCTCTCTTCCCAGGACCAAAGCCATAAAGACATTTGCCCTTGCATGGGGCTTTGACATGTGCGAAGCCACGTTTGTATATTGTCTTAGGGCCCTCTTGAGAGCTTAGAACTTCCCTCCGACCCAGGCAAGACTTTATGTGGTGTGCATTCCTCCCAAACATGTCATGCTTGTACCTTGCCGTGGAATTCTGAAGCAAGGCACTGGGGCTTGAATCCAAAAATGGGAGGACGTTGGAGGCTTAAACAAGCAAATGTTTTTCATTATTTAAGATTTTAAGGAAACTGAATTCTTGGATATTTATGGTCACAGCCTCCTTTGTGAGTCGTCAATGACCTCTTTCCTTCCAGGAGGTATCTCATAGAGAGGGGGTCTTGGACTGCCCTCCCCGGGGTCACTAACTCACAGCAGAGCTGAGTCAACCATTCCAGGAGAAGACTTGCCAAACACATCTAGCTGACATGAATGGAACCAAACTGGAGAGAAGTCAAAGTTTACCATGAAAGGCAGAGCAGAGAGGAAGGACTGCCCCAGCAGCTGCAGATCTGCCTGTGCTTTAGCTTTAGCTCGAGTTCTTCTGCTTTGAGGGACAATGCCAATCATCTCATAAGTAAATGGAGGCAATGGTTTAGCAATTCTGTCAACATTGCAAGAAAATACTGTGTATACGTTACCTTGGGGTGGGTTGCCCAGTGCCTTCTGCAGCGGCCTCTGCTCTTTCCTTTTATCTGGGAGCTGTTAGAATGAACCTCCTCCATCTAGACATTCTGTCTGACGATCTAGCACTATAGGAAGTTGTCTAGGGTGACTTGAATCCTCTTACAACTTCCAAATAATTCTGTATATGTAAGAATTTAAATCCCATTCTCATATTCAGGATTTCTCAATGGACATGCTTTTGACATTTTGGGTGAGATGAGTCTTCATTATGGCAGTGTCTTTAGCTCACAGCAGGGCACACAATGCTAGTATGTCCACCTCCCGTCATCGTCACAGCCATCCACCCCCCAACACATGTGCTCCACAACACCACTGTGGGTGGTGCTGCCCCCAAGCACATTGTGAGCTTATTGCCTTAGAAACAAGAATGCTAGCACTGCCATGGCAGCAGGCAGCAGTAAGCCTGTCCTTTATTTCACTCTCTGATTCTGCAAACCTCAGATCTGAGACCCACTGTTATAGACCTGGACAAGGCTTCTGACTGCCCATTCCTCCCCATAGAGTGAGATCGTACGGTGGAAGAGGTGAGAAGAGAATGAATGGTTGCACAGCCGTTCCATTCCTGCTCCCTTTTCCTCTCCCAATGTTGTGAGTACAACCTAAAAATTCTCCCAGACATGGCGCAAGAAGCCTAAGTCACAAGGAAATTTGCTCCAAGGCAAAGCATCTTCATTTCCCTCTGCAGGAACTTTGTGCAGGTGCCCTGGAATGAGGGGATCCCCTCTTCCCCATCTCACATCCTCATAGAGGTCCCCCAGATCCACATTAATTGCCTGCAGTGTCAGACTCCCAGTGGACTCTTTCCTTTTCCGTCATCTTTCTCTGCCTATATTTTATGGCATGGGGCACTAAAGTTATCAGGTGGTCAGAGAAGATTAGAACTGGATATGAGCTAACAGATCATTCAATCAAGTGGTTTTCAACCTCCAGACATAGATGTCTATTGGTTGTGACGATACCAGAGGGGATCCAAAAGCTATTACCATTTCAAACATGATGTCAGAACTCTCCAAGTTACTTTAACATTGGCTGCTATTAGAAACACCAAGGGAGGAATGCATGAGGCGAAGATGAAGGAAAAGAAAGTTTATTTTAACGTCTGTGTACAGACTGGCTATGGCCAAGATGGCACCAGCCCCGAAATGGCGGCCATCTAGGGCTTTATAGTCAGATTTGGGAGGCCCTCAAAGGGATGGGGCCAGTTGAAAGGGAAAGTTTCCCTAGAACCTCCCACCAGCCTCTGGGTTCAGTCTAATAACTGCCACGTGAGTTGTATTTAACTCAGGATAGTTTTGAGCCTGGGGCTTCGTGAAGCAAAGCCCTGAAGTTGGTTTATGAAAATCTTACTTCTTGATGTTCTTATTGTTACACTTAATACTTACAATTTAAAAATGTGGATTGCACTGCATATAACTCACGCACAGAAAACAATAAAAATAACAAATTAGAAAGTATCGTTTTGTTTTAATAAAACACCATGGCCCCAAGGAAAAATTATTTTTTTCTAGTGGGGCAGTCAGTGTGTTAAACAAGACTCACAGGTGTATAAACATGTCAAGTTGTTTTGTTTTACTTTTGCCTAAAACTGCATTGACATGGTGTAGTAACTAGGTGTTTCATGCTGACAAAAAGTTCTGATTGACAGGACTTCTACTCATTATATATCGCTCAGTATTACTTGACATGATCATTTTGAAATCACAGAGACTGTGGGGAGAAATTAGAAAGAGGTCCTTGATGGTAAAAGGGCTGGGAAATTGTATCCCAACTATCTCTTTCTTCAAAAGATGTTGAGGCCCAGAGACATTAAGTGACTTGCTGAAGGCTGGACAGTTAGTGTCCTAGAACTATGGTGGACATGCCATACCAGAACAGTCCCAATTTGTGCCTGTTGTCCCAGCATAATTATCAGTGGTAATCCCTGTCACTCTCAAAGAATTCCAGTTTGAACAGTAGGTTATATGGTCACTTTACCTGAAACCCACATCACCTAATTGCCAACTCAATCCTTTCCCACTACATGACTCTGCCTCTTTCCTTCTTTTTTGTGGTTCTGAAAGTGGTCCCTCCTATCTGGTTCCATCTCTCATGCTTTCTTTCACAAGTTAGTCTTCCTGAAGTCTGGGTGGCTGCAAATGACAACTCCAAACCCAGACTGCCTAAACTATGGGCCCTTTGTTCCCGAGTGGAGGAGGAAGCCAGACACCACAGGGACAGGACCATGGGCCCCAGGCAAGTCCGTGGCTGTGCCCAAGCCTTGGACAGCCACCCACATGCTCCTACATTCTTAGTGACAAAGGCCAAGGCAAGGGGTAGGGGGCCAAGGAAAGCTGATGAACTTTTATGACTTTTTTAAAGTGAATCCACACTGGATTGAAAAGAAATACAATGTAACACACCACCCGTTAGCCAATGAAATTCCAGTATGTCCAGATGACTCAAGTTCATAGACTTGGGTAATACTTCGAAATCGTCTGTGAACAATAAAAGTTAAGTATTAAAAAAGTGTTTTCATGGCAAAATAAAACCCCCTTTTTTTGTCTGCCACATGGGGCCAAACATACCAGTGTGTTTAATTGGTGTATCAGTACCACCCTCAAGATTTTTTACATGCCATAAACGCACAATGCAATTTTGGTGGAGTCCCACAGCAAGCTATAATCATGAGCTGGGAGGACCTGGGTTCTGCAGCTGTGCTCGGTTTCCTGAATTGCTTTTAACTCGCACCAGAGCTCAACACTTGTATCACGAGATCTTCTGATAACAAAGCCCAGCGGACTTGGGAGACACTTGTTAAAATGAAAATTGGTTGTGCATAGAATCAGGAGATAAACATTACTCCTTTTTAATATAAAGAACTTTGCTTTGTTAATTGAAAAGTTACTGTACAGATGAGTCTGTCTCTCTTCCTGACAGCCTTGGAAATAGCTACTTACCTACTTCATTTATTCCATGGCTAACAACACAGACTCTGGTGCTGGCAAAGCTGGGTTTGAGCCTGTTCTACTGGTAGGCAAGCTGTGTGATCTTGGGCAAGTTCCTTAATCTTCCTCAGCCTTAGTTTCCCCAAGTATAGAATGACACGGTACCCAACACATAGATACTATTTTGTTGCTGTGACAAAGGAAGACAACACATACAAAGTGTTCAGTGTACTGCCTGGCTCACACTAACTGCCACTATTACTATTTAACCAATCAAACACTTTGGAGATCAAAGTGCAAGGTATTGCACAAGGCAGAGGGCTTCAAAACAAATAAGACAATGATTCTGACTTGAGGATCTTACAATCCAAGGGGAATGTCAAATATACGCACAAATATTTCCGCAGAGATAGCATGTGGCATGGAAAAGAGAGACTATCTTTGTAAAGGTGGTATGGATTTCCCTTAGCAATTGCTGTTTGTGTTAAGTTTTGAAGAATGGATAAAAAGTCTCCAGGCATTCAAGATCACATAAATTCAGTAACCATGTTCCTAGATGAGCAGAAAAAGACGATACCACTTTGGTTTTCGTTCCAGAACAAATTCTAGCTAATTTTAAAAGGTAGAACACAGCCTGTTGTTTCTAAGTTTTATTTTCCTTTTCCCCTACCCAAGCAAGCAGAGCTGGGGACACTGGGCACCCAGAGGTTTGTTTCGTAAATAGCACGTTATCCTGAGGCCCGGGCCACCTGGCCTCCGCTCATTTGGGGCTTGGCCCAGACCTGCCGAGAATTTTGCCATGATGGAGCAGCTCTCCAAAGTGCTCTCCAAATTCTCTCTGGCCCACGTGGAATGATTTTTATATCAAAAGATTCAGCAGAAACTGTAAAATCCAACATTTAGAGAAGACTCCTTTGGGAACATCTGTAGTGTTGGGTTTCCTACTTTACAACCCGAGCTTCGTCTACCATTGACTCCTCACAAGAACAACAGCCTTGGCAGAGACAGAACACAGAGCTGGGAAAGACAGGTGAGTCTCTCCACAGCACCACCCAAACATCCAGCAGGCTGGGGCCCAGTTCTCTGGAGATACAGATGTGGTGCGTTAGGTTGAGTGTAAGTGTTCAGGAAATTTCTCCTGGAAACACTGGTAAGGGGTGAGGAAGCAGAAACAGGGAGTTAAGAGTAAGCAAGGGTGCCCTACCAAGCACGGTTGCATAAAGGGTGACTGTGAGCCCACCCTTGGAGGAGTTGGGGTCAATAGAGACCACATTCCAAAGCTGTCCTGGTGGGGCTACACAGGAGCTAGAGTATTTACACTTCCAAATCTGTCAGTCATTGGTTCACTGCTCTCCCTAGGAAATGTCAGTTCTCAGGCACCCCTGTTCTCTGAGCACACAGGCAAAGTGGACTCCTACTACCTGAGGATGTTCTGCCAACAAAGATACTTCGGTTCTGGCTGAAGAAAGTTGACAAAGACAGGTAGGGACAATGTAGAATGAAAATATGAGGGCCTTTTTTCAAAAAGCAGGAAAAACACGCCGTGAGAGGTACTAACATAAAAGCTTCTTCCTTTCTTCCACAGTTTCTCTCTTGACTTGTCACACAGTTTTTTAAATTATTATTATTTGCTATTTCATGCCACTCCAAGTCAAAATTAAAATGTTAAACTGTTAGCATGAATCTTACCTTTCATTTTCATATTGTGCAATGCCAGCTTAAAATGCAAATGTAAGAGCATTTAACTCTTATGCTAAATGGTCAAAATTGCATGATTTGCATATTGCATTCTTACCAGAACAGTAGAAACGTCACACAAAACGAATGCAACTGCTTTTATTTCACTTCCTGATTCATGCACATTCTGCCAATACTCCCTACCTTTGGCTGAGAAGTAAGGAAGAATGGGAAAGAAAAGAACTATGGGTCACCTTAGCTTTCCCTTTCCTTTTGAGTAAGTTGTTGGCACATGCAGGGAAATACCATGAGTAAGAAAGGACGTGCAAGGCTTCCTCAGTCCTTCATGTTTCTTGGAATACCACTGCCTTCTTTGTGTTTGGGGCAAGTCTCCGTTCTCGAATGGAAAGTGTGGCCTCTCTAGGCTGTCAGTGTCCCTCCGTCTCCCCAGCTTACTCAGTCATAGACAAAACACTGACCTCGTAGTCACTTTGCGTCTCCATGAACTCGCACACATGGGCCGTGCGCGCACACACTGCGCATGTCCCCTCTGTCCCTGCACATGCTCTGTTGTCCCGTCAGAACTCCAACAAAATGCAAGTTCAAAGAGAAAACTGTTATCAATTTAATATGGTGGCGGCAGAACGTGAAACTCATAGGGGAGTGTCTCTGAACACGGGTCCCGTGCGACTGCTACACAGGGGACACGCCGCGAAGCGGGCGCTGCGCCGGGATGGCAGCACGCGTGGACCGGCGACGAGCCCCAGGGCACCGGGTGGAGCGGGGAGACCTGCCCGCGGGGAGTGGGTGCAGCAGGAGCCCAGGGCGGCCACGGAGACTTGTCACCGCAGGTACGGCCCAGGAGCGCGGGCGAGGCCGGGCGAGAGGAGGCAAAGGGAGGTCAGAGCGCAGGGAGAAAAGCCGAGAGCGGGCTCTCCAAGTCGCTCGCTGCAAGTATCGGGAGAGAGCCCCGGACTGAAGCCCGGGGGCGCGGGAGCAAGACTGGCAAAGGGTCATCAGGACCAGTGGCCTCCTCGTGGATCTGCCCCAAGCCCTGAGCACCCTCCACGCCATCCCTGTGAGCCGGGAGGCAGGTTGCACGTGTCTGCATGTGGCTCCTCAGTGTGGCAGTTCTGCTGGACGCCGTGGCCTGCGTCCCTCTCATTTCTCTGCCCTCTTGGTTTTAAAACAAAAAAAACCACAAGACATTTCCAGGAGTGAAGTAGCCCCTCCCCTGTGGAGGGCATCACCTCTGCTTTTCCAACGCTCTCGGCGTGCTGCCTTGAACACGTGACACACCAAGTGGCTAATGGTGACCCACCAACGAGCAGGTCACCAGGACCGGTGTTCAGCTGTAAGACTTTGCAATACGGCAGCTGGAGGCTGTCCCTCAGAGGTATTCAGCCACCTGAGGGCCACCTATCACTGGGTCCTCTCTGGTTTCTCAGCCTCGGCACCCTGAACATTCAAGGGCCAGTGATTCTCTGCGCTGGGGGCTGTTCCATGCACCACAGGAGGTTTGGCAGCCTGGCCTCCGCCCACTACATGCCAGTAGCACCTCCTTTCCCCTGCCATGCGACCATCAAATAATGCCCCCAGACATTGCCAATTATCCCTTGGGGGACGGAATCCCCTGGGTGAGAGAACCAGTGACTTGAAGCCTGAGGGCCCTGCAGAAAAACCCTCCATAGAGGGTACCACTTTCACCGCATGCTCTTTGGAGTGTCTGCTTTTCTGAAAGTGTCTCTTTCTTGCCTGGTCTTCCTTAGAGCACTGTATCCCCCACTGCTGGGTAAGTCAGGAAGGCCTCAGGGCCT